CTCGGGTGTCGGAGGCGTCCCGGGACGTCCTCTCTAGTTTAGGTCTCTGCGCCCGAGTGGTATGTGTGAGAACCGTGGAATGAGTGTGTTGGTGTGCCTGTTTTGCCATTCTTTTAAATATAGGGCGGTTCGTTAGGATAGGTAGCTTACTTTCTGATACGCCTGTGTTTAATTATAAGTAGGAAGGGCCGGGCAGGTTGGCACAGTCTCTGGTCGCGTGTCCCCTTTTCGCGTGTCCAACCTGTTTCAGGAAATCTAATTTGAAAAATCGACAGTGAAATTGGTACAAATTGAGCATGCCATTTGTTTCTGGTTTTACTCTTTGATTTTTCGAATTTAGTATCGCGGTCGCGGTCGTGGATAGGTCGCGAGTAGGTCCCGAAACGAACGTTTATGTAGGTATTGCTCGAGCACGCACATGCGAACGGACAACGATCGCTACGATCGATGGTCGTCCATGTGTATTGAGGTCAGCTTTCGTGGTTTACCTTTTCATTTCACTTTCATATGTTAGTTTTTGGTTTGCGATTAGAAAGACTCGAGCTAGATGTAAATTTCAGCGGGCATTGCGCTCGAAGAAAGAAGAGGCTAGAAGCCGAAGAGGCCCGGCAAACTGCCACGAAGAGGGTCACAACAAATGGTTTCTCATCCTCTGGATCATTTAAATGATTCCAGAGCATGGGAACTCATTCTCGTTACTACTACTTTGTCACTATGCTCTTTCAGTATTTGTAGTTGTATTTTTGTTTTTTGTTTTTTTCCCCCATGATCGTTTATCATCGGTTTGGGCAAATCGCGAGTTTTCTTGTTAGTGTTGCGAGAAATCGATTACGGGTTGAATTAGAATTGCGTAATAGTTTCGCGCCTGTTTATTAGCGTTGCGTTAAATTGGTTACGGTTTAAACTAGAGTTTCGAAGAAATGATAATCGTGTTTGCTTCAGAGTTGCGAGTTACGATACCGCAATTTAATAATTTTGACTGTGAATTTTTATAGCTGTTTTAGAGTTATACATAATAAAATTTATCTTGATCCTATTGTTTCAAATTAGATTATAGAGTTATTGCTTTTAATTAATTTTAAAGTGTTGAAATATTTGAAGTAGTTTTTCGTTCATATAGCTTTTGTATTGTTAATAATAATTTTCATTGAATTTGGTTAGAGTTAGTATTACGATATTATTTCATCGCGATTTCTTAGTGTTACTTTTACCCTCAGTGTTGCGATGTTGTTCCATCGCGATTAGTTTTTTTTCTTAGCGTTGCGATAACGAATGATCGCGTTTCTTGAAGTAGCGTTGCGTTTACAAAATGCCCAAATTCTTCCACTCGATTCGTGGGAGGCCTCGTGTTCCTACTCCTGGATCATCTGACGCAGCTACAAAAGCTGTACAGAGGTGGTCATTTATCAGCAACCTCCAGCATGGTTGCACTGGACGCCTCGTAAATAGTGTTGCGCACTTTTAAACATGAGTGCACAGATTAATAGCGTTGCGTATTTATTTCCGGGGATTTTAATGACGAAGAACTCTGATTTTGAAAATTTCCCATTTCATAATTTGTAGTACTAAAGTATTAGTGTTGCGATACAAATTACGGTTGATCGGGTTCACGTAGATTTGACAATAGCCCTTCTGGCTATCGTATTGAGTATGAAATGTTCTTTCAGTAGCCCTTCTGGCTACCATATCGCGATTTTATTTTTCAGTGGCTCTTCTGGCTATTGTTTTAGATTTTCTTTGTCAGTAACCTTTTTGCGTTATGTTACAGGGAGAAATCAGCTGCAGAAAATGTACAGAGATGCGCACACCAAACGTTTAGAAAGATGGAATATGAATCAAAGAAAATGATTCAGGAGAAAATATTGTTACAAGGATATGATCCAATTGCAAATAATACTTATATTTTACAGATTTTACCAATATTTTTCAGTTTCTTAGATCTGTTTCAGATACAAATCGTAGAATCAATCGAACAAGACTTCATACAACATATGGAAATACAACAGATTGTGAAATCATCGAGAGAAGACTTCATACATCACTTCAATAGATGTTTGTGTAGACGTACGTATCCATTGGATTAATGAAAAATAAATAATTTGTAGTTTTGACATATTTTGTAACTATTTTGTAAGCGTATGGAAAATATTTCATCCGATTTTGTATATTTTTCGTACAAAAATATGTTAGAATGTCTAGGAGTAATTACTTCTTGTATATACAATGATTGTATCTGCAAACGAGAGGGTTTGTTCTTTCTTCTTCTGTTTAGTTTCTCTCGTATCATATCGAATTTTTGATAAAATTTGTTTGCGCTGATAGATTCTTCGATATTTTATTAATGACTTTAGAATTTTAATTTACTGCATGAAGAAAACCATCGTAATACCTTAAAACGTGGATAGACCGCTTCCATATAACTGTGATACGTAGTAGAATGATTTTGGTTAGCTTCACATTTCGGTATTGAAAATTTTACTGTACTGTAATGGATTTGAGAAATCATATTTCTGGCGCATTCGCTTGATCAGCTTCGATCGTTTTGCTTGATGTAGGTCTTGAATTCATCGTTGTTTAAGCATAGAGTGCGCTAAAAAACTTATTACAAATCACTAAAAAAATTGTTTTTTCATTAATTTCTATGATTTTTTAAGAGGATGATGTTAATACTCAGTTGTTAATCATTAAAATTTAGTTTTCCTTTAATGAATTTTGAACGTGAAATTTGGTAATTGTAATTTAATTTTATAGTGGTGCAACTTATTGCGGCTTTGACAAGTAGTTCGCGGATGTTTATTCATCAAAGGAAGTTTTTTAAAATTAGAGAACAATCTAAAGTGAAATGCTAGTTATGATATTTATTTGCATTCATAATAATATGAATAATGCATAAATATCCGGAAATTATTAATAAAATGTTTCTAACAGATTATATGTTATAATTATCGTAAATGAAGTTGAGAAGTCCATGTTTCTCACATTACATATTAATAAATAAAATTTGTTCTTTATAAATATAGCAATAGTTTATTAATTTCATTCATAGTTAAATTTTTACGGTTCGTTAGTTACAGTTTATTAAGATAATTAATAAAATCTAAACACGATATTAGAACGATATTTTATACAATATTTTCTGTTCCTAAGACATTAAGCTTCAGACGTGTTAAATTTTTGTCTATTAACATAAAACGAATAAAATAGAGAAAGGATAGATTAAAGGATTTTCATAACTAGAAGAAAAATTACAAAAAAAATTGATACATTTCGATACAGGTTGTGTTAGAGGAATATATCGATATTAGTGTTTAATCCTCATTTCGCAAATTATGGAAGGAAATGTATTCCATTATACATACGTGTTTCAGTTTATTTATTAAATTATTGTTTGACACAGGTTATCGTGTATGTCGTACAGTGAGAGTTGTGTGTATGGGCAATAGTACCTATCTATAATATAGTAGTAGAATTAAAGTTAATCCATTTAAATACAAGTGCGACACGCGCAATCAAAGATGCGTAAGGAGAGAGAGAGAGAGAGAGAGAGAGAGAGAGAAAGAGAGAGAGAGAAAGAGAGAGAGAGAGAAAGTTAAATCTACGTCTCGCGTTTTTATTTAATTTCTTTTACTTTTTTCCTCATTTATTTATTTATGTATATATTTATAATATATCCACTCCTTACGCTTCGTGATGCTGACATAACAAATACAAGGAAGATATAACGAATCGTTGTTGATTTTCTCTCGCGTGTATATATTATATATATGTATGTATGTGTAATATATTTTCATTTTTTTTGGTTATTTAATCCATTTGTTCGAATAGCGACGATGTTGTGCATTTTAAAATGATTGCTTGTTCATTAATGTTTTTGCTTTTCTGGATCTTTGCGTTTGTTTATTTTGTTGCGACGGGTACGGCGTTTCGTTGGCCAAGTGTTTCGAATTTACGACGGGTCGTTAGACATTGTCGTTAAGCAATTAAATATGATGGCACCGTTTTTCGCTTTTGCTCTTATTTTTCGCTGCTCCTTGCGATGTTTACGGTACGGCCCGTTGGAAACTCTTCTCGGCCCTTTCAACTTACGATGATATATCGAGGCTCTTCCTTTTCTTCGTCGTTTGCTCGTTGTACCTGTATACAGTCACGAAACAATAATTGCTTCAAGTTTTATTTTATTTTCGTAATCACGTACCTAGGACGCCGTATATTTGAAAGAATGAAAACTTAAAAATAATTCACTCCTTAACGCTATTTCTAAAGTAAAAGAAACGAGATAGTCGAAGTAATCATATTGTTATTTTTTTATTTTCGCTTGAAATCAAATTGGTTCAAACTTACACATAATTTCTTGATTGAATACATACGTTTTTAATGACGACGAGGTGGCGTTCGAAGTGGTAAAGGATGGGGTGTCGATGGCGATGGCGCTTTTACAGGTCAGACCTCGTCTCCTGGACGAGGTATACCTGAGAACCGGGCACGGTGGAGGTGGTAACGAAGCTGCGATGTTTTGCGCGGATTAGAGACAAGTTGCTCTCGGCAGTGTCAGCTCGGTCTTCAGCAGCCTCCAATTCTCGTTGGAACCGGCGAACCCTGGTCACACTCTGCTGTGACATGCCCTCCTGCTCTTGCAGTTGCCTCTTGTAGATGCTCACTTTCTGGCTCGCTTTATCCAACGATTCTTGCAACAACGTGATGTTCTTCGCGTCTTCCTCTACTTGGATCATCACTTCCTTGATATTGCGCTCCTTCTTGCGGAGGATCTTTACGGTCTCGGCGTGTCGGCGTTTCTCTTCGTCAAGTTCCAGCTCCAAGTCGCGGATCTATCAGGAGAATTTGTACAAAATTAGAATTGGACGTTTATGGATTTGTGTCTCACATTATTTGGTTATTTTGCGAAATACATGTGAATTTTTTAATGTTATTTCAAAAATTCGATGTCTTTTAACGTTAGTTATTCGATCAACGCTGTTAGAAATTGTATAAAAAGATTGAGGATAATTTAGATAAATTTGCTTAGAAATATTTTTGGCAAAAGAAGTAGTAAAAAAATTTCGACTCACCCTAGCTTCGAGTTTACTGATAATGCGCTTGCCACCGACGATGGCGTTGGCCTCCACTTCCTCCAGTCTCACAGACAAGTTCTTCACTTCAATTTCAAGAGACTTCTTGATAGACTCGATCTTAACAATACGTTCTTGTTCCTCGTGCAGGATTTCGACGGTGTGCTTCAATTCATTTTGTACCCGTTGGTATCTCTCATCGCTCACTCTCAACTCCTTTGTCACTTCTTCGTAGTCTCCGGCCAGAGTAGCCAGTTCTTGCTCGAGTTTCGCTTTCGATGAAGTAAGATTCACACTGATGGTGGTCAACTCGTTGATGCGACTAACCGACTCCTCGTATTGCTGTTCGACGCTTCTCTTTGCACGGAGGGCCTTTGAAAATATTGTTATTTATGTTATTTATCATTGTACCGAGAGCAGTCATCTGGTTAGGTTACTGTAGAACAAAGACAGATAATTTAAAATCAAAGTATCAAACAAAATATGCAGTCAATTTCCTTTTGATCTTTTCCTCCATTTTTGAAAAACTCTATTATACTTTGATTAACTTTCTTTTCCATATTGTAATTGTTGTTATAAGTATCGAATTGTTAATATTATTTCGATTAATGTACCTCAATTTTTTAAATAATACATTAAATTCAGAAATAGATATAATGGCAAAGAAATCAAAATTTTATGTCACTGCCTGGTATATTTCAAGTTAGCATTCAGCATTACCGCCTGGAGTATTTTTAGCCTGTCTCAAAATCAATTGGTTCAAGCTATCGAATGGAAAAACCCGCCATTTCGTTCACCCATTCTATCTATGTTTTGTTTATTCAGTTGTTATTAGTAAGGATAAAAGTATCAAAATGACGAAACGTGGAAAATTTCTTTAGAATAGAATGCATAGTAAAGGAATACCTAAAAACTTTGAAGCTAAATCTAATTAAAATTTAAATTCACTACGACTTAGAACTTCTATTTTATCGCAAGATCTTAAGACTTAATTTGATATTAATTTCTATGAGATAAATTGGACAATACTTACAGATTCGTAATTGCCGCGTACTTCTTCGAGCTCGGCTGTTAATGATTGTAGGCGTCGTTGACTGATACCCAGTTGGTCTAGGGTTACCTGTAGTTGACGTTGAACTTCGTCGTAGTGGGCTTGGAGTTCCTACATAATAACACAGCATTTAGAACATACAATTACTTGCCAAACAGCTATCAATCTCTCTCAATACATCAACTACCACCTGTCACCCATATCTGAACGATGAATAACTTTCCGTAAGGCTGTCATCATCTACAGATGGGTGACAGTCCTGTGTATCGAATCAGAAATAATTTCATTGGTATATTCAGTGCTAAGAATTAACCTCTCTGGCAAAAATTCAAAACTAAATTAAAAAGGGACATGAAAATATTCAATTAAAAATATACACGTGACATTGAATCGCTTGAACAAAAGTCATTAGAATATTTTTATAAAGCAATGATTACGTCAGTCGCGGCAGAAAGTGACGAAGAACTAGTTATGCGTTAAATTATGCGCTGTTGATGACAATCTATTTTTTTTTTTTTTTTTTTTTTGTAATTTTTTATCGTGCCTCGTCGTACTTGACCAAGAAAATCTGAAATATATATTCGATCAACGCGTCGACAAAAATACATATTCTACTTACGGTCAATGTGAGCGATTGCTTCTTGATGGTCTTCTGTAAGTCGATGTTGTTCTTGTTGGCAACATCCAAGGACAGTTCCAGCTCGGTGATCTGGACTTGCAGCTTCTTCTTTACGCGTTGCACCTCGGTCTTCAACTTTGTCTCCGCCTCGACCACGCGGGCGTTCAGCTGCTCGATCTCGATACTGGTCTGTTTGCTAATTTATTTCATTTTGTGTGAACATACGACCACCCCTTACAATCGTTTTATAGGGTTTCAAACCAGATTATTGTTTCCAGGTGATAACAGCAAGAATTTTGGATCCATGCCTTTCTGTCATTGCTACCACGTTTGCGAGAGAATCGCACCATTCACCGAAGGTTAACGCATTTAGAAATATCTGACATTTTACCAGCAATATATTTAGTAGCGCAATGAGTATTAGATTACCGGGGGTGTTTTGAAACACATTGGTTGGGGATTCTTTGTGCTTTTGTCTATTTCGATGCAGCGTTAGTTTGGATGTTACGATGCAATAGTTAGCTTGGCAATGGATGCGTTGATTTCAGAAGCATTACCATTTGTATTATCACAAGTGGAAAGTGTATTTATGTAACAAGGAAGATGCGCGTAATTTATTTCAATGTTCCAACGTTTCGCTCGACGCTTTAGAGAAAAATGATGATTAATTTCATTTGATGTCAAAGATGTTCGTAGCTACCTTAAAATTTAAATGAAAATTGAATGTCAAGTAGAAACAAAGAATCGAAGTCTAAAAAATAAAAAATATTTGATGATTGAGACATTTAGAGAAAGATGATCATTATCTTATGTAAGAGTGAACCTCGTTGTGAGAATCCGTTGATGTTCTAAAATTTCAATAAACAAATTTTTAGGAATGAAAAAAAAAATAAACCAAAATTTCATTTAAATCGATACATTTTCGTTTAATCTGCGTCTACAAGCTCCGAGGATTAAACGACAGTATAATTACTTCCCATTTATCGTTTATTCTCTTCATTGTTTCGTGTCACATTAGTCTTACCCACACAATTAACTAATCTACTAGAATTTCCATCCTTTTTAAGCGGGCCTGATTCCCAGGCATCCGTACAATCGTCTCGGTCTGGTCGGGTGTCGATACCTCTTGTCCAGGAAGTAATTGCTCGACTTCTCCTCGTATCCTTTCAGCTCCCTGCTCAGGCTGTTCAACGGCGCGGTCAGATCATCCTCGTCCAAATACCTCGTCTTCTCTTCCAAGATCCTCAGCCGATCTCTGCTGTCCAGCAAATAATTTGCTGACGCAGTTTCCTTCTTCCGAATATCAGCCAATTCTTGACTTCTGTTCAGCTTCTTCAGCGATTCCGCTGTTAGATGGAAACCGATCGCTCTGGCTGATTTACCACGCAGACTTTGCCCTTGATTGAGCTTCTCTTCTATCTCGGCTATGGTCTGCACGTCTCTCAACGATCGCATATTGATGTTGGCCATTTCACGCTCTCTTGCGGATTTCACGCGTGCACTCTCCACGAGCAGGAGCAAGTTTGACGGAGGTTTGATTTCCTCTGGTTTTCGCGGGAATATTTCTCTGGTCACGTGACTAGCCTCAGAGACTTTCGAGAAGCTGAAGTTGGACCGATTCGCTATCTTCGGGAAGGCAAAGGCAGCAAGTCAGTCCCTGTGTTTGCTGTGCTGGCTGTTTCCGATCGTTACATTCGATTGACCGCGATTAACCGCGACGATCGCGAGAAATAGGAAATTATAGTGAAACGGAGAGCGAAAGCGACTTGCGAGTAGTGGTTTTCGCGAACAAGCGACCTTTTCCTACGATCGTTCCCTGCCCGTCTGAGGGCAATCACGGCTCGGCCTAAACTTAGCAACGACGGTCCAGAATTCGAAAGTGACCGAGCACACTCTCGATCGACTCTTTCTAGAGACTCGAGAACGACTGCCAATCGGAGCGGAGTGCTGGCTTCCCGGCCCCGGGACACACGAAACGCGAGATGGATTTTTTAATGTACGCGCCGCGAGACTTGGCACCCTTGAGAGTTGCGTCCCGACTCGTTTCGTGGCTTCCACACTAATCCACCGAACGGTTCGAATGGCTGCCAGATATTACCACTTCCGCGATATATTTTTATTTTCTGTCAAAGTAGTAGATATCGGCTCTCTATAGTGTAATAACGGAGGCAAAAGTTGGACGATATTAATAACAATGAGAAATTTGGGAATTACCTGCTTTCTATCGCGCAGCTAGATTTTATTTTACGTCGAAGATTTTCTGCCAGTGGCTCGCCGTGACCGTGTTAAATTAAGATTCGGTGATAGTGGGGCGGCAACAAGGCGTCACAGGCTCGAGTTATTGGATCGGATTGTAGAATAGATACTTTCGGAAATAGTATAATCGGCGCCGTTACATGTTTATTCGCGTTTCAAAATGTAACAATGAATCTACGGTTCTTTTAAATGTTTACTGTTATTTGAGGAACGTCTTCAATTGTTCGTACAAGTGACGCCATATTTTCAAAAGGGTATAAAATCGTAATAAAAAAGCAAATTTTTATATTTTAAATAATAGTTTGAAAAAAGGACGTTGGAAAATAATTGATATAGAAATGGCCATTACCAAAGAAATGGATTATATCTATTTTATCTTATAGAAACAAGCAAGTAATAGATTTTAATTTAACTTGTATATTTAGAATACTATCTAAATAATAACACGGTTGTTCAAGAATATAGTGCCAATTGTTCGATTTGACTATGTTGCATTGTTTAAAAATTTAAAATACATAAAATATAGCGATTTAATGTGTTTAAATTTTAAAATATCCCAAAATATTCGCCATATTTTTGCTAATTCTAAATTATCTTTTCCCCCTAAATTCAACTCTCATTGCTTAAGAAATGACCTAATATATGTACATTTTATTATATTAAAATATATATATATATTTTTTTTTATATGTTTTATATATATATTTTAATGTTTCCAAAGAATCGCGATCCAAAATCTTAACTCTTGAAACAAGACCTAAATCAACTTTCACCCCACGTCCATCACCTCCAAGTCGAATTCTCAAACTCGAGACCCATTCGCCAAAATTACAAGCCCCACCCGAGTCACCAAATCGATGCCCAGCGACCGTGACATTCCTCCCAAGAGGAATTCGAAACGCACGTTTGATTGACAGAGGTCTGGTCAAAAGACAGGAGCAGCCTCGTTAGGCATTCGACGGCGTGTAAAGCATCGTCCACGTCGAAGCAGCCCCTTCCGTGGCGCCAAATTTAGCGAACGAAAAGGTCAACCAGTCACGAAGGCGCCTAACCGCGTGAATTGACCGCTTTTCCACGCTCGAGCCGGCTCGACTTTCACTCTCCGATCTCGTCTCGTACCTTGAAGTGGGACAGATGATCCCTGGCCTCGTCCTCCGCGTCGATTGCCCGACTGATCAGTTCGCGTCTCGGGTATGTCTCTACAGGCCTGTTCTCCCATAAAGCTCTACCATCCGACCAGGGTAATTGCGATCTGTGGCTTCGATAATCGCTTGATAACGAGAAATTTCGACCTTGGCGATCGATATACTCCGGCATCGGTTGATAGAAATTGACTCCGTAACTGTAGTCCTTGTCGTAAATGTAGGTTGGCCAGTGTTTCCACCTTGGCTTCGTGGATACGTACGTTAGCGGCGTGGGACCTTGCATTTTCGTTCGTCTTTCGGTTCCTTGGGTTCCTCCAAGTTTTTCGATTCACTCGGCAATTCCTTTTTGGAAAATTGAGGAATTTGTTGCACGTTCTCGACTACTTTTAACGAGTCTTTTGGAACTTTAGTTCTCTTTATTTGCCTCGATTCTCAACAAATTCTCTTCGTTGAAACGATTCGAAATTTTCCAAATCTATGTTAAAAATTTATCCTAGATTCCTCCTGCTCTCTTGTCTTTATTATTATTAATCCTGTCTTTCTTATAATTATTACACCGTACGATGACGCAAATGTCAATCTTCGCTGGGAGATATCGACCACCGACAACTTGTTTCCTCAAAACGTTTATTTTGAGTATTTTTGTGGGTATTGTTAATGTTTCATCCAACATCTACCTTGAATAGAAAGGGTTGCATTCATGGAGTTAAACGTGTTAGATACAGGATTTCGTTTTTACGGGAAACTTCCTGATTTCCTACTCACGGATTTTTCATTGTCGAACAACCGGAGGTGACACTTGCTACGAAACGGTCGAGAAAAATTGGGCCGGTCAAGTGCGCTGGTATCTTTTGTAGCTTTTTCTTACGATTGCCACATTGGGAACGACCAATCAGCACCTCCCGAATAATAATTAGATCGTGACTGAACGGTGTTGAACGACGTTTATTAATAGTCGTATTGCGCACTGTTTATGCATCATCCTCAATTAATGACCCACAATGATATTGTTTATACCATTGTAGAACTGATACAATTGATATTCTTTAAAGTTTCGTTAAAAACCGTTGATATTAATGACGTATATATTAATATCGTTTCTTTGAAGGCATAAATATATATTTTTCCAGTTTATGTCATGTTCCACGTAAACAAATTTTGACTATGAAGTGTTACTTTATAGTTGTGATTTTTTTAAGCAGACTCTTCACTTTCTGAAAAGATGTTTTTCAAAAACTAGATATTATGCGTTTACACAACATAATATGTAGTTGTCTTTTTCAATAAATATTCTAATTCTTCTATGATTAAAACGACAAAGTATATTACAACAAGATATTCAGTGTCGTAAAATTCTAGAAAATTTTCAATAGTTCTCCTCTTTTTTTAATTCAGTATTTTCTAAATATTCTTTAATCGTTTTCCCCATTTTTAAATTTATACTTCGTAAGAAATATATTTCCTTCTTCGTAGCACGTGTTTTTTAAAAATTACATTCACAGTGATATAATCAATATATATATATATATATATATATATATATATATATATATATCTTTAGGCAAGAAGAAAAATGATTTCCTCATTCGTAATACGTGCTTCTAAACTATATTCATACATAGTTAGATCATCAATATTTCGACCATCTGGCATGCAATATCGATACCGATGACACTCGAGCCAAGAAGAAGTTACGTTCGATTCACGTTCGATGATTATTCACATTTGGCAATCCATGATTTTGTACTTTTGTACAAATGTATGTGACTTTTGATTGTACTTTTTGTATTTACATTCTCGTTAGATTTTTTTTTTAATAAGTAGATAATTAAATTACAATTATTTCTTCGAATGTCTGAGGAAGCCGTCGTGGGTTTTTTCGATGATAAAATTAGTCAAATCTTCAAATAGTTGATCTACCAAGAGGTTATACCGAAAATAAAGTCGATTACATCACGGTCAAGTAGATAAAAATTCATACTTCCTGTTTTTCTTGATATTTTTCTTCTTTTAAATGTGTTTTAAAAGCACACTGAGTTACGAATTTTCTATAATTCACTTGCTCGAATAAATGTGTGTGTGAATACGATACAAATCATACAATGTTATTGTATTTTTTGATTGCAATGAAGTTAATTTTTTTAATTGGAAAAAATTATTTAATTTGTAGAATTAGCCTTTTATTATTATACGTAGGATATATTTTCTAATTTTATATTTAGTGACCACACAGATATAACCCACAAGCACTTTTAGAATTCTTTGTCAGAGATGTTGTAAAATATTGATTTATCAACTTCAGAGAATATTCGATTTCATCGAATAGAAATAGCCGCCTTCTGACTGCCTATTCATCTAAGTCTTGGTTCAACTATCTCCGCGTTTTGCAATTATAAATGTTTCACTTGAATCGATTGCTCTTTTGACAGAAAAGACAGAAGGTATTGTATATAACTCTACGTACATGACAGAAAAGCGAAGGTACATAAAACACATTGTACCACAGTTTCAATATTTTCAAATAAAGTTGCCAATTAAATTTAGAATAAATGTATATTGTTACTAGCGAATAATACATACATCACCTGGAAACTATTCACTGTCAGTCGCGCATTTGCAAATAGTATTATCGTGGAACTAACAACAGTATTAGTACAAAGAAACTGTAAATTACTGATGTTAAGTTGTAACACGCAATTCGAACCGATAATTTGAAGAAAAGCACAGCAAGCACAATTTTCTTACTTACCGAATGATCTCGATTTCTTCATCCTTCTCAGTTAGGCGGCGTTCGTAGTCATGACGAAGCTGGGTCAATTCAGAGGACAGTCTCTGAGCGCGCTGTTCTTCAATCTTGCGTCCCTGTCATCAATTTTCTTTTACAGTAGATTCTATATTTTGAACTTTGCAGTTTCTTTTTTATGATTGAGTAACATTGTAATAGTATCCAGTAATCTTTACTAATCTTCCATTAGTCTGTACTTTTCGATAAAATTCAAGTACTGATGAGAATCAATCAGTTATAATCAATGATGCATATTTTAAAAAATTTGAGAATTTCGAAATACTGAAATAAATACGCTGCCACTTACTGCTTCAGCTTCTTTATAGGCGGCAGCAAGTTCCTCACGTTCGTTCTCCAATCGGCGAAGTTCAAGTTCCAGTTCGTGAAGTCTGCGATTCATATCAGACAGCTGGTTCTTGGCGTCGTTCAAATCATCTAAAAAAATAATTGATATAAAATTATTCCTACATTTCAAAGATAAACAATTAATATGTACATTCCTCCGGATAAAAGAAATTTCAATCTTCAAATCGACTCGCAGATTGTAAATCATAATGACTTTATTTCATCTTACACACTATACTTTGCGCGATAAAGGCTGGAACTTTAAGTTAGATTGAAATTTTCAAAATTAAAATCTAAATTCAGATTGTCATAATTTTCACAAATAAATAAAAACACTAATGGTCAATAACTTTTGTACTTTTGTACTTTTGTACATTTCTTAAGAGATATCTACTCTGAGATAATGTTCGTCATTTTCATCAAATTATTGTATTCTTTCGTACGTTTAATGAAAATAGTATCGATCAGTTAAGTTGAAGTTTCGTGAAATTGCTCACCTCCCAGTTTCTTGTTTTCACGAGCCAATTGATCTTTCAGCTCGCGTGTCTTGTCGAGTTCGGCATTAGTACGCTGGAGTTCCTGCTGTTTGTTACGGAGATCACGTTGACTTTGTTCATACAAAGCCACGCTTTCATCCAAACGAGCCTTGAGTTCCAGATTGATCTTCTCCAGGTGGTCCACGCGTTTTTGCAATTCGCGAGCTGTTCCATTGGCCTTAAAAGAGTTTATCAATTCATCAATATATTACGTTGGAAATTAAAGTTTCGCGCAGGTTGAAAATTGTAAACTCTTACCGAATCAATTATATTATTCCATAGTTGGTAGACACAAACAAATTAAAAATTCATCAAAAATTTTAATCGTAACTTAATATTTGCCTTTGGGTTATATTTTCGTGGAGTTATATTTAATGTCTAATTTAATTTAATTTATTCAAACATACGGGAGTTAATAAATGTATTCGATAACTTTTGAAAAGTAAACTTTGTAGAAGTAACACTTGCAAGTTTCCAAGAAATGTCTTAAATAACAATAAAAATTCTTAAAACCGTACCTTCTCCAAGTCGATGATCAGCACCTCTACTTCAGATTGGAGGCGGGATTTCTGCTTCTCGAGATTGTTGATCTTCACGAGCAGAGTTTCAATTTGCTCTTCTTGTTCCTGAATGCGAGCTCCGTACTTGCGACGCAATTCTTCCACCTGTAAAATTCCAAATGTGGCTCAAAGATTGAAACTGACAGACATTCTACGTAACAGTTATATACGGTGCTTACTTATCAATTAAAAAGTAATTTATGTATGAACTGATTGAGAAACTAAGCGATTTCAGATGAAGTACATTTCTACGTATGTAAAAATAAAGTATAAAACGAATCGTATTCAAGATAATTTGTTATTAAAAATAAAAACATTGGAAGACCAATGTCAAAAAGGCGGCAATTCTATGAATCATTGTTTTTTTCTTCCTAATTACCTCTTCGGCACGAGCGTTAGCTTCGGTTTCATACTTCGATCTCCAAACTTGCACCTCGCCATTCGCCTTGACCAATTGGCGTTCGATGTCCAAACGAGCCTCCGATTCTTCTTCCAACTGAATGCGAACGGATTCCAATTCCGATTCCACCTGTTGACAGTTTCGTTACATAGTAAGTTTTGCGTAAATAAATGCAATTTGCGTGTGTTAATATTATAAAAAATGAAAGAGACGCGTACCTGATGTAAGGAAGCTTCGACCAATGAACGACGACGATCCTCATCCTCGAGACGACGGCGAGCATCTTCCAGTTGACCTACCAGTTGCGTTTTCAAGTAGACAACATTCTCGATGTTGACCTACGATAAAACAAATTGTTCTGAAAATCGATGCCGCAATAAAATGTTGGAGTTTGTTGCAACTATTCTTCAAAAGTTTGGAAAAATTCTTTTCTGTTCGTCGATATAAAAAAGATAATATATGATAAATAAATGTAGATACGACAAATGCTAGACGTGAGATTATTTACCTTCAAGTCTTGCACTTCTTTCGTTAACTCGATATTTTCCTGTGAGATTCTAGTTTTATGATTGGTGATGTCGATGATGGTACGATTCAGTTCTTCAATCTTCACGTTAAGCTCGGCCACGTGCACCTCGAGTTTCTCCACGGTCTTTATCGACAGCACCTTCTCTTTGGTGACACTATCGAGCTGAGCGAGAAGTTCGTATACCTCCTGTTGAAACTTTGATTTTTCCTTGTCAGCTCTGAAAATATTGTCAGTCAGAATCATATAGCAGAGTCCTAGATGAGTTTCCGATAGAGTTCATTTTATTTTTTTCTAGTTGTGGATACGAATGGTATTTCTAAGTTGAAGCATTTGATAATACATTTCGAATCGAGCAAAGTAACATTTTAGTTTTTACTTTATTGTTTGAACTTTAAATCACAAAAATTTTAACGATATAATATTGTATTATATTACTATTATAATATTTGATTTATGGATATTTAATTAATGTAAAAATAACGTAGACAGAGGCTATTTAGAGCCTTAAATTATTCAATTTACGTTTGTACTTTATTTTTTTAACTTAAAAATTAGCAACGTGATTTTATTTCTTTTTTTTTTTTTTACTATTTTTCTGTTTCTACATCTTTCACTAATGACTACTTTCTGACTATTCTTACGAATCCATAAAGAATGCGAACGAAATTTCATAGAATATCATCGTTAATCATTATACATCGTATAACAGTGCCAACGAAAACAGCAGTTGGAATCTTTCCCTCCAAAAACAACATCTTGCAAAATTGTTTCAGCGAACAGAGTGAAACGAATGTTTCGTCCATTTATCTAAATCATCAAACATTGGTTATTTCTAGATCGTCGTTAATCCTAAAGAAAAATGATTAACCTTTTTAAGTTTACTAATCCGGAAATCAGGAAATGTGTTTTGTATGTGTCGTTTTCTCCAAACAAAAAAGAACAAGAAGTTGATATTATTTTTTATAAATAGAATTATGAGTTGTACGTAAAATATTTGAAGGTATAAAATATTCGAAGAAACTATCCAAAGGACTCTTTTGTAATTATGTGTTTATAACACATGTGTAACATATGAAATAATCAAGTGAACTATCCTTAATTGGGAATAATAATTTTCTTTGAAATTACCATCTACATTTACCAATAAATTAATATACTATGTTCAAAAAATTTCATACTCACCCAATATTAAAAATTCTCAGTAACGTTCCATTACAATAATAAATTTTCAAGCCCAAAATCAGCTAAAACTTCTAAACTAATAAAGTATAAATTCTGTTTAAACCAAATACTTTTACATGCATGACGAAGGGGATAAATTTTAGATATTAAATCGAACCTCACCGTAAAACAAATATGCGATACCGTTCAACCGTTTATTTAAATATTCGATTTACGAATGAGAAACCTCCTCGATTGAACCTTCCTTCCTCTTTTAATCTTTCGAAATCGAACTTTTGAACTATCTTGCTCCTCCCCCTTCCCCTTCGAATTTATCCTAAAAAAATCTCAAGATAGAAGTAAGATACACGAACGGATAAAGTGATAGGGAGGATGGAATTGCTGCGATATCGGTGGTCCACCTACACGTAACACAGAGAGGGTATAAGGTGTCGGCCGATTCTGTGGATAGTGGGGATTCGGGCCGGTCGCCTGTACTAATATGGCGCGGCAACGTAGGGTTGTGGATTGCCGCGCGACTCGCACGGTTAAAAATAGTCATAAGCCGAGTGGCTGCTGTGCGAGCAAAGCGTCTCGCGGGGGGAACCAGCAGAATAAAAACGTATAAGAGCAGTAGGAAGGGATGTGAAGCAGGAGAGAGAAGGAGGGATAGAAAGTCGTAAAGGGGAGAGTTGCGAAAGTTGGGTGGATAAAAAAGCGGAGGATGAACGCGGAGGGAAATAAGGAAACTTGCGAATTTTTTTTTTTTTTTTTTTTTTTTTACCGATTCGTTGAATTCTGACTTCTCGAATTTTTATCGTTTAACGCGTT